TGCCTCAATTTGTGTGAACATGTTGTTATTGAAGAGGTTTAATGCAAAAGGCATGAGGGCAGCATCTCCCTGGTCCAATGGGATTACTCCATTATATTTTGGATTATGTCAGAAAATAATCTCTGAGTCAAACAAACGTTTATGATGCTTACACGTTTAGTTCAGCAGGATGATCTCCACATGTTACGTCATACTTCACGTGACCACCGCTAAGCTAAAGGAGGCTAATGTTGGGCTATAAAGGAACTACAGCACGGTCACATGACTTCACCTCACCAACGCTAAGCTAAAGGAGGCTAATGTTGGGCTATAAAGGAACTACAGCACGGTCACATGACTTCACCTCACCAACGCTAAGCTAAAGGCGGCTAATGTTGGGCTATAAAGGAACTACAGCACGGTCACATGACTTCACGTCACCACCGCTAAGCTAAAGGAGGCTAATGTTGGGCTATAAAGGAACTACAGCACGGTCACATGACTTCACGTCACCACCGCTAAGCTAAAGGCGGCTAATGTTGGGCTATAAAGGAACTACAGCACGGTCACATGACTTCACGTCACCACCGCTAAGCTAAAGGTGGCTAATGTTGGGCTATAAAGGAACTACAGCACGGTCACATGACTTCACGTCACCACCGCTAAGCTAAAGGTGGCTAATGATGGACGTGATGACGTTTAGTCGTTTCATTTAGACGCTTGTTAGCAAACTGCCGTTCTTAAATTCACCAGTAGGGTATTTAGTGACGTATTTTATGTAATACAACAAAATGTTAATATCTTTCCAGCTATTGTTAACCACAGACCTTATTTCAGGCTAACAACCAGAAACACATTCAGAAAATGTTAACTTTGAGACGAGGAAGTGTTAAAATATGAATTTATTCCTGGGTCTTCAAACTCATTCTTGCAACTCTCTGGACATGTTTACTAATTAAAAGGCAATTTCATTGATTCAACAAATAACAGCGGCAGGCATGAGTCGTATTTGAAAAACTGACCATTGGTAATTTTTACTTCTGGTAATGTCTCCAACAGAGAAGCAAAGCAACATGCACGCGCATCCTCAGTGAGAGCCACGACCTGGATGTGAAGAATATCCAGTTGGAGCTGAAAATCGAACAGGTAATCAGATCTGTAATGTCACAAGTTTTTATTCATTCGTTCGGTTATTGATCGCTGAGTGTTGTGTGCACCCTGGTGGGTAAAGGAGTTACAGAGCTGACTTCACAAAACACAGGAAGCAGCAACGACAAACTATTTTGCTCTGTGCCATTTTTAAACGTGGCCGAGCCTGTTTATTACCTGTAGGATACCAACATTTTAACATCACTGACATTAGCCGTTTAGATAAAATACTCTCCGCTGTGCTGCTGTTACGTCATAGAGTGAGTGGTTATTTCAGACCTCTGAGCTACAGTCTCATTCATGGACTGATGGCAGTGCTCCAAAAGATAGGGAAAACACTGGAATGGAGATTGTAACACCGGTTACTCTTACTGTGACATGATGTCTCCATCTACTGATCATATTTCCATTCTTTAGGTCTAGAATAGATTTATATTTTGCAATTTTCCAAAATTACATTGGTTTCTCAGACAGCATCTCTGTATAGTATGTGTATGCTGAAACCTGGTGTTCACTCTCTGTCCTAAACGGATTGTTGGAGCCCCCCCCCCCCCCTGTGAGCCCAGTGTGCTCTGATTGGTCGGGACGTTGCGAGGCTCGTTGTGAGGCTCGTTGCTGCTCGCCGCTGCTGTGAGCTGCTGCGAGGAGCGGACAGGTTTCCGGGTCGGCGATACAGCGAGAACAAGCGAAACTCATCCTGAGCACACAAACACTCACAGCCGAAGTAAAAACAATAAGTGTGGCTTGATAATGATATTGAGTAAGAAAAAGGTTTAGAACGCTGTGAGAATGGGTCTGCAGAGAGCATTTCTCGAGCGTTCACACCGGAATAAGTCCTTGGGGGAGGATTAGGCAAATGAAGCCGCTGACGTCACTTCTTCTTCTTCTGCTTTGAGTTTACTGGCAGGCCGCAAACAACTTCACGACATATACTGCCACCCGAAGTCCCCGGCCAGAAGTCCCCGGAGTTGGGGACTGGCTTCAGTAGAAAAATAAATGGCGGCTTCACAAAACTTTTTGAGAGTTTTACGGTGCGTGGTTTGCAATCCGCCCAGCCAATCAGACATAGGAACCTTTTTCTCCAAGGGGGTAAAAAGGTTCTCATGAACTAAGTTCTAGTTCCGGATTTTTTTTGGTGTGAACGCAACATTTCGGAACTTTATCGGAACTAAACTGGGAAAAGTACTGCGGTGTGAACGCGCCTAAGGGGACGGGTAAAAACCGGAAAAGCATGACATAGGCCCTTTAATGCTCAAAAAGCTCTTTCTTTTTCTCATACTGTCTGTGCTGCAGCACTTCTTTTCACCCTCTGTCGGAAACCAGAGCCCAGTCTGCTCTGATTGGTTAGCTGGCCGGCTCTGTTGTGATTGGTCAACCACTTAGAGATGTCCCGCCCCTTAGCCTATCACGTACTATGTGTTGGAGCGCTATCCAATAGGAGCGCAAGTGTTACATGGTGATGTCACTATGTACAGGAGGTAAACAAAGGAGTCCAATGGAGGTGTTTCAGGGAGGGGGGTGAATGTGCGTGAGAGAAACTCCCTCTGGAGGGAACACAGGGATTTAAGCCTTTTCTAGACCATTTACATGCATTAAAAACTATATAACACACTACAGGAGAGGGAAACCCCCAAAAAGCACAATAATGCCTTTCTAAATGAATAACTTGTGTCCCGCAGGCTGAGAATGAGAACGACCGGCTGCAGAGGAAGCACACCGAGGCCCTTCTGGACACTCAGCAGAACAACGGGATGAAGCACCTGCTGCTGGAGAGGAAGATCCAGAGCCAGACAGAAACCCAGGAGAGGCTGGAGATTCGACTGTGGGTGGTGCAAGCTGTCATACAGAAAGACCAAACGGCTCTCAAGAGCATTAAGGTACCATTTTGAATCTGCACTTAGATAATAACCTATGTGTAATCTGTAAATTGCAACAAATATTATTATTTTTGTGACACAGGTGTTTTTTTTTTTTAACCAGCATAGATTTTACAGATGTAAATGTTTGGCATATTTGCAAATCCTTTTGTTTGCATCTGTGGAATGTGTTTTACTTTTCCACACGGGTTACGTTTTTTTTTTCACCTGTAGGAGCTATTTCAGTCCAAGGAGGCCACCATCGCAGCCCTGAAGAATGACATGCCTCCAGAGTCAAAGGTTGGCCATTGGTTATGCAAAATAATTTCCTTACATTTCTTTAAAGGCGACATATTATGCTGATTTTTAGGTTCATATTTGTATTGTGTGCCTCTACTGTGACATGTATCCATGTTCTAAAAGCTCTTTATTTTTTCTCATACTGCCTGTGCTGCAGCACCTCTTTTCACCCTCTGTCAGAGAGAAACTCCCTCTGAAGGGAACACAGGGATTTTAGCCTTTGCAGACCATTCACATGCACATAAACATATACAACACACTACAGGAAAGGGAAAACCCAAAAAAGCACATTAGGGCCTCTGTAATTAATAACTTCTGGTAAGTTCCTGAGATGCTGTCATGTTTTATTGAAAACAAACATGTGATCGGCAGGAACCTGTGCATTTGGGCTTGTCTTTAAACAAGTGGCTTCCACTGGGGACCAATACCAAACCCACCAAGAAAGCCTCTGAAGATAAGGTCAGTTATTTAAAAGGGTTTTCATTCATCTGTTGAATTGATTTGCGGGTTATTGTTTCTGTTAAGTGTTTGATAGGATTCAGTCAGTTCAGTTGGTGCTGTTTTGATGAAATATGTGTTAATGTGAATGGCAGGTCTCTGACAGCTTGATGCAGAGTCTGACGACTTTGTGCATCTCTGACAACGACTCGGTCAGAAGAGACGTCGCCAAACAGAACTCTGTCAGTGCCGGACCAGATGATGAACTGCTGAGGCTTTCAGGTTTGCACTCATCTGCAATATCTTTCAACCAAAATCACTTAATTTCCCCCCCTCTCTCTCATTCAATTCCTTATAGTTTGAATACAAGTGAATTACACATTTCCATTTCATTTCATTTCATGTAATGAACCACAAAGTTGTCTAACATAGACAGCGAAATTGCTTCAATAAAGACATAATGTGGTTTATCCCGATGATCTTATCCCCTCAGCATTTGGAGCTCAAACTGATTGTGAACACGTCAAATATGACGACTGTAACCTGTAATCAATATTTACAACTTGATCATTTTACAGTATTAATTTCCTCCTATACAATTAAGCTTGTGAAGTTTGTTTCCAGTTCCTGTTCTAGTTTTACTTGACCAAATTGAACTTCTTTTGTGAGATTTTACCAATTCACTTGGAAAGTGCCATGTGTTTCTTGCTCTAAAGAATTATATCTAGCCAGCCTAGTTGTGAAGGCTGTTTTTATTTAGTATAGTGTTTTTAAAAAAGTGTCTTTTAATGTCTTTGTTTTTGCAGAAGCGGTTGCGGGGCCTTAGATGTTGGATGGTTGTGCTGCATGAGATTTTGCACATTTTAAATAAATATACCGTTTTTACCTCACATTGCTTCATTCCTTAATTTACTTATCTGTACTACAACATTTACACAATTTACAAAACTCTTTTAAAGGATTAATAATTTGATATATTATAGGAAATGTACACTTAACATTAGTTGTTAAATGTAATGGTTTGAACACAATTCCTAATTCTTGTCCTTCCCTTTTGCACATACTCAAAAAAAGGGTATGTAATCATATATTTTTAAATAAGAAGTGTAATCAAAAAGAGCTGATACAAAACTGATAAACGCAGTAGGCCTAAATATGAAGAAAAATGTCTAGATACAATTAATGTTGGTTGTGTATATACAGTCTATGGTTTGTGCACACTGAGGGAAAACAGCTGACAGGAAACACGACCTACTTTCACCGGAAAGGAGGAGCAGCTTTTTATTGTCGCCTGAGAGGAGCTGCTGTAATGGCGGTGTCTCGTCGCTCCTCGCAGCAGCAAAGCACCATACAGTCTCCGCCGAGAAACAGCTCTCTCTCGGCTGCTCCGGGCTCTCCTCCGCCGATGGCCCTGATCGTTCCCCCGGAGAGTGAAAGGGAATGCGCCGGTGGAATCGACGTCGCTCCGGCCTCCCCGGACCTCCTCGTCCCGGTGCTACCGAGCAGTGCGAGCTTCTCCACGACAACAACCTCCGGAGGCAGTGGCAGCAGCGTCTCCAGCCCCGGATCCGGAGCCTCCAGCCCGGCGGACGGCAGCAGCGGAGGGGCCTTCAGGGAGCTGTTCGAGGCCTGTCGGAACGGAGACGTTTCCCGGGTGAAGAGACTGGTGGACTCGGTGAATGTAAACGCGAAGGACATGGCTGGTCGAAAATCAACCCCGCTCCACTTCGCTGCGGGTAAAGCTAACGGCTCGGCTATGTTTATGCTAACATTAGCTATCATACTTTAACGACGAAGCTATGTTAATGCTTACATTAGCTATCATAGTTTGTAACGAAAAATACTGTAGCTCTCATACTTTTACTATGATGCTAAGATTAGCTATCATACTTTAACGTTAAAGCTAATGTTAGCAAAAACATAGCAACTGCTTCAGCTATGTTTATGCTAACATTAGCTATGATATTTGAACGATTAAGCTAATGATAGCATAAACATAGCTAATGTCTCAGCTATGTTTATGCTTACATTAGCTCTCATACTGTAACTATGGTTATGCTATCATACTCTAACTATGTTTATGCCACGCTCTCATACTTAAACGATTAAGCTAATGGCTCCGCTATGTTTATGCTAACATTAGCTATAATAATAATAACAACAATACATTATGTTTTTCAGGCACTGTCAAAATACCCAGGTTTACTTTACGATTAATAAAATATATACTGTATAACAGTCAAAACAACAACACATTAAATACATAGCCTACAGGGCAGACAGAAACAAATGACAATAATTAAAATTGTGTTTTTAAAGCTATCTTACTGTAACGATGAGCTAAGAAAAAGTCTCAGTTATGTTTATGCTGGCATTAGCTGTATTAGACTTTAACGGTTATATAGCTAATGTTGTTGTGTTGTGTGGTAAACACAACGTTCAGTTTAAACGGCTAGTGTTGCTAAGCTGCTAATGTGACGTTCTCTAATGCAGATGTCAACATTTCTGTACTTCAGCTAATCCGTCAAAACAGGATGCGCAAAACGACCTCTAATTTAGCTAAAATGTCAGTTTCAGGCTAATTTCGATTGCAATATTAGAATATGCCCACATTACTGTGTCTGTTTAGCACATTTCTGCACAATACTGCCACTTTTTACACCTTCACATGCTTGACTTTCATGATTCAAATTCAAAGAGCTTTATTGACATCACCATAATGACATAGAGTTTTGCCAAATGTTTGTCCAATTACGTACGCATCTTTACATAAATATACATTTGGCATTACTTCTTATGTTTATATGCATTTTGAAAAAAAGCATATAAACATGTTTTCCTTACAAGGAAAACGATATTCTTTTAGAACATGAACTAGAAAAAATAAAGCATAGTAAAAAAAGGTTTTGGACAAATTAAATGTAGTAACTGTGTAACTCACGGCTTAGAGATGCAAACATCTTTTCTATGCATCAACAAGGATCAGATCTAATCGTGAATTATTTAGGTATGTTTGAATTGAAGTATTTATAGAAGGAATAGCCTTGGTAGTTATGTTTAAGAGGAGTCAAATATTGAGGAAATGCTGAACTGAAATTCCTTTTGATCCTCTTCCAGGTTTTGGCAGAAAGGATGTGGTGGAGCACCTCCTGCAGACGGGGGCCAATGTTCACGCCAGGGATGATGGCGGACTTATCCCCCTGCATAACGCCTGCTCTTTTGGCCACGCAGAGGTTGTCAGCCTCCTCTTGTGTCAGGGAGCAGACCCCAACGCTAGAGATAACTGGAACTACACCCCGTTACACGAGGCTGCCATCAAGGGAAAGATAGACGTCTGCATTGGTAAGGGTCACCGTGTTTAGGCACAGGGAATTATGCAAATCTGTAAGGTTTTCTAGACAGACAGATTTTGTTAGCTGTAATTTGGCCCTTCATAATGTGTATAAGCAAGGTAGCTTTTGTGCAAATTGTTCCTGATTATAGTGATGATCTAGTCCTATTTAATATTAACTGATATTTAGCCTATGTTCATGAACATAACTTTATAGGTTGGTTTTTGATTTAAACAACACATATGTTTTGTTAGATTTAATCTGGGCAGATGTGGTAGAAGTACTCAGATCTTGTTCTTGACTAAAACTAAAAGTACTCAGATCTTGTTCTTGAGTAAAACTAAAAGTACTCAGATCTTGTTCTTGAGTAAAAGTAGAAGTACTCAGATCTTGTACTTGAGTAAAAGTAGAAGTACTCAGATCTTGTTCTTGAGTAAAAGTAGAAGTACTCAGATCTTGTACTTGAGTAAAAGTAGAAGTACCAGAGTGTAGGAATACTCTGTTACAGTAAAAGTCCTGCATTCAAAATGTTCCTCAAGTGAAAGTAGAAAAGTATTCTCATCAAAATATAGTGAAAGTAGCGACAGTGAAAGTAGTCATTGTGCAGATTGGTCCATTTCAGAATAATAGATAG